CATTCTCTCTATTGAGTGGCGTTGTGTTGTAGGCCACGCCCACTACAATAAGGGTTTTCTCCTAATAAATGAATTTCGTGGCCGGTTGTGTAACCACAAAATAAAAAAACCACAATGGATCTATTTCTACACTCAGCCAGCTACCAGCAGCTGACTAGAGACGTAGCTTTATTTAATAATTGTAATTAAGTTTCTTGAACGTAATAAAATTATTTTATAATCAAACGCAGCGAAACTTTCTGACATTCTGCCTCCGTGGCCGAACGGTTACCATGCCGGACTGACACGCAGAGGTCCTGGGTTCGATTCCCGGGCCGGGAGAAATATTTGTATGGCCTACATTTATTTCTCTCGTGAGTTTGGGTGTAATTTGTGTTTGTCTATGTATGTGTCCATGGCACCCGCGACACAGGGTTTCCCTAGTGCGGGGCTATGTTGAGTGTGTGCGTTGTTATTTGTTATTATTATTCAATAATAATTATTAAAAAGCTACAACTCTGGTCAGCTGCTGGTAAATTTAAAGGTACTTGGCCGAGTGAAGAAATAGACTGTCAAAGATGGCGCTAGGGCAAAAAGTCGTTAAAAACCAAAACCAATAATCTGCAACACATACAAAGAGTGGAAAAAAAAAGAGAACTGACCTGTTAGACCTCCTGCTCAGAATATCTGGTCGAGACGTATTAAGACGCGCCACAGTGAGGTTTATGGGCATCGATCGAGCCAGTTCCGGCTCAGAATCATCCTCTGTAACATTACATACTTTTAAACTTCGTGTCCCGCTGTCCCCGAAATAAGTGTCAATGTCCCGATATTATAATTTTTTTTTATAAAAAAAGCCGACCTCAAGAGTTCGTGTAATTACATCTATTTGCCAAATTTTATTGAAATGGTTACCGGAAAGTGCGCAAAACCGGATTCATCCCTTAGTTTGCCACCCTTAGAGGTGGAATATTTTTACAAATTTAAACGGCACCAATACTGAGTTACCCTCTCTCCAACAAAAAAGAATCATCAAAATCGGTTTTAAAAATTTCAAAAATATTTTAAAAAATAGAGTGGAATTGAGAACCTCTCTCTTTTTGAAGTCGGTTAAAAAGCAGTAACATTAACGGGTTAACTTAATTTCAATTAAATTTTTTCGCTATATTTATATTTGCACTTGTACAAACCATCGTTGTCGTCATTATTGAGAATAGGCGCATCTTCACCGTCGCCGATTCTAGTTGTAGACGGGCCTGGAAACTCTTCTGTGACCACCACTACTTCTGTTGAAATAAAATAATTACCACCCTTTGTAACAAATTTTAAAATTAATAAAATCTGATCTGGGAGTCTACTCCTGTTCCCCGTCTGACACACTTCCGAAACAATTGCTGTCAAATTAGTGATACTCAACCAAATAAAATCATTTATTCCATTAAATGTTAAAATTCAATTAATTTAAAAACTAAATTAATTACGTAATTATGTCAATCAGAAACAGGCTTCGTCACATAAAAATTACCAATGCAATTCGCCAGACTTGGCCATTTTTATCCAACTAGTACAATTAAAAAGGACCGCTCTGAATCTTAGGTGGTTCAAACGTCCCTACAACATTGGCACCAAGTATTATATAGTATATACATTGTTGCACCAAGTAAGATCCAGAGCGTGGTTCATGACCTCTATCTCTAAGCCGACGACCCAACTCCCTGATATATCCCTATAGTACATACATTGTTGCACCAAGTAAGATCCAGAGCGTGGATCATGAATTCATTGGACTCTGCACCCCAAGTCCCCGCAATCTCCATTGCAATTGGCACAAAATCGTACATCGGTTCTAAGGCACTGTACTTGGCATGTTTCAATTTTACCGCATAATCCGCAGCCGATCCGGCAGATCTGATCTGGTGGTGTGATTCAGACTGACACACGTAGCGTCCAACAAAAGGCACCAACTCTTCTGCCATGGAACCAGTTTAAGACCGTCGGGTCTCTTGCCATCTGTACGGCACAACCCCGGAGACTCCAAGACACAAACCACGTTAGCCAATACCAAAGCAAACTCAAATTCCACCAAATTAAAAGATAAAATCAAGTATGAAGCTTCATTGCCATCATGCGTCTTGTAATATGGTAGAGTATTACTCGACCCCTCCTACGCAAAGTATCGTATGTCGAAATTGCCAAGTTTACAGGCGAGCTTAAAGTTGTGAAATCACTGCAATGAGCATAACACGTGAATTGAGCTTTTCTCAGTTTTAGTCGAGAACGAGTTTTAAAGAACGAGCTTTGCGTAATAAAACTGAGTCAAAGTCAAGTCAAAGTCAAAGATGATTTATTCCATAGGTAAAATAAATTTACACTTGAAAACGTCACATTTAAGGTACTGCTCGTTCACTACGCTGACCTCCCTGAGAAGAACGAGCAAGAAACTCTAGGGATTGCTCTTTTCAAATAAACTTAAATGCTATGGAATACATTTTGAATCAAATTTGTGTGGATTCTGGAGCCATGTCGTCTTTCCATACATCTTTATCTAACACGTAGTCTTCAATTTTGTAATATGATTTTTCGATCAAAATATTTTTAATGTAGTTTTTAAACTTAGGAAATGATAAACTTAATATATGCTCCGGAATCTTATTGTAAAAACGTATACAGTTCCCCATAAAAGAGTTGTTTACCTTGGTTAAACGAAATCGTGGTACCATGAGTTTGGACTTAGCTCTAAGGTTAATATTATGGATATCTTCTTTCTTATTGAAATTATGTATATTTTTACGGGCATATAAAATATTTGAGTAAATGTACTGTGATGCCACAGTCATGATACCAGTCTCCTTAAACTTTTCTCTGAGAGATACCCGAGAGCCTAGACGGTACACAGAACGAATCGCTCGTTTTTGCAATACAAATATGGTTTGAATATCTGCCGCTTTACCCCACATGAGAATCCCGTAGGACATTATACTATGGAAGTAACTAAAGTAAACTAGTCTAGCAGTACTAACATCGGTAAGCTCACGTATTCTGCGGACTGCGTATGCAGCGGAGCTTAATCTGCTGGCCAGGGACGATATATGTGGAAACCACTGAAGTTTACTATCTAAGGTCACTCCCAAGAAGACTGCTTTATTAACAAGGTCTAACTTTTCTCCGTTTATTTCTATGCTTGGACTAGTCGATTTTACGTTAGGTAATTCAAATTTAACACATTTTGTCTTCTTGGCATTAAGCAATAAATTGTTAGCATTAAACCAATAAACTACTTTAGAGAGGGTATCATTAATACGGTCATAGTTAATGTCATGTCTGTCTGTTTTAAAAATCAAGGATGTGTCATCAGCAAACAACACTATTTCGCAATGGTCCTTAACAAAGAATGGCAGATCATTAATATAAATCAGAAATAAGAAAGGTCCAAGTATTGAGCCCTGCGGAACACCCATTTTTACTGGAGAACCCAAAGAAGTCGCTCCATTTATGCCTACTTTCTGAATTCTACCGTTGAGATATGACGAGACAAGTTTCGACGCCTTGCCATTTACACCGTAATGTTCCAGCTTACTAATAAGAATCTGAATATGAATCCAAGATCAAGAAATAAATTTTTAAAAAGAAACAAATTTTAAAACGCACGTCATCATCGTAAAATTTGCGAACACAGACTATTATATGCGAACGTCATTTTTGTTTGATTGTGGTTTGTTGCTTTGTTTAATTAGACTATAGAAACCAGAAGAACTGTAGTTTTTTAGTTTCTACTGATGTAAGTCTCTTTACGTGTGATGCTAATTAACCGTAACAATGATTGTTATACTCCCAAATGATATATCTAAAAGTTACGAAGTGGAATACAACTTGTTGTTGGAAGATATTACCAAGTCTCGATTGAGGTCGTCATTTATATTCAGTTTACGCGTAATACATGTGTTATGGTTTTGTATAGCTGCCATCGGAGCCGTGACGATATTGGTGAGTGTTGTGTTAAGCAGCGCAGTGCACGAAGGCGAGCTCGCGGATAGAGACCCGGTGGTGTCTTGCTATTACAACACGCCATCTCCAGTGGCGACTGCGGTGCGCCAGCTGCTGCCGCATGATATCCATCCACACCTCTGCACCCACATCAATGTGGCCTTCGCTCGCATCGTCAACAAAACCATATATCTTGAAGATCACCAATACGCTACTCTAGGAGATATAATTCAACTACGGAAAAAAAATCCTAAATTAAAAATTTTACTTTCGGTTGGTGGATCTGGCAATGATAGAAATTTCTCAGACATGGTGGTAGACCATGCATCGAGGAAAATATTCATTAAGTCTATTAAAAATCTGTTAAGGAATTATACCCTGGATGGTATTGATTTAGACTGGGAATTTCCAGCCATTCATAACTCTAAACTGGCTTTAAAATTGGCTGTGGCCAAGAGAGAGCGACAGCATTTCTCTCAGCTGTTGCGAGAGATAAGGGCTGAATATGTAAGAGAAAGACGAAACTACTTGCTGACGGTTGCTGTAGCAGCCCCTGAAGTTATTGTTGATGCAGCCTACGATGTGGATCAACTTGATTTATATACAGATTTTGTGAATGTGATGACTTATGATTACAACTTCTATAGTGATGCAACTCCTTTTACGGGTTTGAACTCTCCGCTGTATGCACGGCCCGAGGAGCAGCTGTATATAGCTAATCTTAATATCAACTACACTGTCCACATGTACATCAGCAAAGGTCTGAGCCCTAACAAACTAGTGATTGGAGTTCCAACTTATGGCCACTCATATACACTGGTCAACTCTGATAACCATGGTATTGCAAGTCCTGCCAGTGGTTATGGCTCTCTAGGATCATCAGGTTTTGTTAACTATCCAGATGTGTGTCAATTTATGAAAAAGCATGGTGTGGTCATCAAGCATGTTACCCGTGCAGAAGTGCCGTATCTCTACAGTGATCATGAGTGGGTTTCATTTGACTATCCACAAAGTGTATCATCCAAAGCCGCATTTATTAAAGAACAGGGTGTCCGAGGGGCCATGGTCTATTCACTCAATGCCGATGATTATGAGGGTGTCTGTGAGGGAGATTTCGGAAGGAATAACACAAAATTTCCTCTGTTAAAGACTGTCAAGGATGCTCTAGTGGGATTTGTGAAGAAAGGTTAAAATTAAAGCGTTCCATCACCAACCACTCACTTGCATGTCACTAAGTAGAATTCTATTGGTACATATTAATTAATCCTATTATGCAGATGTTAATCAATTTATTTACCTGCTTTTTACGGGCTACATAAGTAATTTTGTACATGGCGCAGGATTTCATGGTTTACGAGAGTGACTCGCGTCCAGCCGCGGTGGCACTGCGCGGTGGCGGCGAGCGGCGGCATTGAGGCCCACGCGCGCGAGTGGCGGGCGCCGCGCCGCTGCCGACTGCGCCGGCGCCGCGCGAGCGCTGCTCATCCACACAGAACCGCATGCGCGCATTCATTACTCCGCCTTATTAACTTTTACAGTAAAGGAAAAAACAGCATTTAACTGTTTCTCATACGGCGAAGTTTCACGCTCGACTGACGACTGTTGCCGACGGTGGCGCAGTAGGCCCTAACTGATAATTCGTAATTCTATCTGATTTTTTTATATGTTAAATAAGACATTCTTGACAACTTTTGTTCTTGTGTTATTTCTAGGAAAGCCGATTGTAAAAGTGAAAAAAAAAAAATTTTTTTTGTATGGGGTAATGTACATTGAATTATTTACCTCAAAATTGGAAACCACATATTCACATTATATTTTTTACTACATTTTGAGATAAAATAAATAATTGTTTCTCTTATCGAGTTCTTAGGTTTTCGCGATTGTTACACATAGGAAATGAAATTATTTTTCCGGATTTAAATCGCGTATATTTGTTTTTTCAAACAAACCGACGTTTCGGGCCCTTTACAGGTCCCATGGTCACGGTTGACCATGAGACCTGTAAAGGGCCCGAAACATGGTCACGGTTGACCATGAGACCTGTAAAGGGCCCGAAACGTCGGTTTGTTTGAAAAACAAATATACGCGATTTAAATCCGGAAAAATAGTTTCATTTCCTAATTGTTTCTCTTTTCATAAAATTAAACAATTTTTTTTCTGAAACCCAACTTTTATCATGTAAACAAAAATCAGCTAGGTGTTCTACCAATTATTCCTAAGATTACGAATTATTCGTTAGACTCTACAGTGCGTCGCGTCGTAGCAATCGCAAGCAGGTAGACAACACGCAACCGTGCGGGGCCGTCGACGTGTGAATTACAAACACACCAAGCGAATATTATTTGCAATCCAAAACGTTGTATGCGATTAGTTCTTTATACGCAACTCATGTGGCAATGCTGAAGTGTCTGGGCGCCATGACCCAACTATACACCAAAGGAAACATGGTTACCGCAAACTTTGTTAATTTTTTGTTGTAGTTGTAGTTTGTTTTTAAAAGAAGCACACGCTAAGACTCAATTTACATTACGGCGGAACGGAACGGAAGCGAATTTTATAACGATATACTGAACTTCATAGTCAATTGTGTAACATACAAATTAGATACGAGCCAAAGAACAGGTCGCGCGTCTTCCATGAATTTCTTGCGCACGGCTGCCATCGGCGACGGTCGGCATATCTACGGCGACATCAAGCGTCTTCGAAATAGGTTGTGTTACTTACTGCAAAAGAAAAAAACATGAATTCAGAAATAATGTTAATCTATTTAGTACTAAATTATGATAGTTTGTACAATGTAAAAGCTAGAAACTTTACCATCAAAAATTCGAAGAATAAAGCATTGGGAAAGTCATATAAAATAGGTGGATACAGTAAAAAACTTTGCGAAATATTTCATGTTGTGCAAAAAGTTTTCGACAAATCATGTACCCAAATATGTTTTTCCTTTTTAACCGACTTCAAAAAAAGGAAGAGGTTCTCAATTCGTCTGTTTTTTTTGTATGTAACGCGATAACTCCGGTATTTGTGAACCGATTTTCATGATCCTTTTTTTGTTGGAAAGAGAGTGCCTCCATAGTGGTCCCATTTCATTTTGAAGAAAATCATCCACCTCTAAGGGTGGCTGATCCCGCATGAACATTCAATTTTATAAATAGCGCCTAACTTTTACTTAAGGAGCAATTATTTTAATGGCTGGTTGTGCTATTCTCCAATTCAAGGCGTTTTTCTTTCTCTATATATTTTGAGTAGTGAGAACCGATTTTTATTATCAGTGGAAAACTAGAGGACATTTCTGTAAAACTTGGCAAATAGATGTAATTCCACGTACTTTTATGTACTGAGATTATCGATCTTTCTTTTTTCTTCTACCTCACAAATAAAGGAAATAAAAACAATATCAAAGTTTATCACCCTTGTTATATTTAAGATCTAGACTGAATTAATGAACACTGCGGATGCTCGAGCATTCCCGCGACTGCGTGCGCCTTCTCGCGCTGTGAGGCGAATTTCGCTTCCGGTCCGGCGCAATGTAAATTGCCCTTATTTCGTTGAGGCACGCTTGAATTTGTAAGGGACTTAATTACGTAGTGGCTGTGATATTTTAAGCAATAGCGATCAATTTTCTACTATCGGCAACTTGCCTGACTAGCGTACTATATGTTACAGAAATAATATGTGAAGGTAAGCTGGATCACTCTGGCGCGAATGTTGAACAGTCTGTTAGAAAATGTGATGAGTGACTTTTTATCAGTAGCCCAAATTTTTTCCACGCATTAGGTGTCATTCAAAGACTTCATTTCTGTAAAAAAAATGATGGGTCAAATTTTCACAATTAAATTTCTAGTCAAAAACGCCACGCTATTAATGAAAGTACAACCCCGGATGAAGAGAGGAAGGCAATTCCACACAAAGTCAAAGTCAAAAATTATTTATTCCATAGGTAAAATAAATTTACACTTGAAAACGTCACATTTAAGCTACTGCTCGTTCACTACGCTGACCTCCCTGAGAAGAACGAGCAAGAAACTCTAGGGATTGTTCTTTTCAAATAAACTTAAATGCTATACATTACATAAATATGGAAAACACGTTGAATCAAATTTGTGTGGATTCTGGAGCCATGTCGTCTTTCCATACATCTTTACTTTTTAAACTTAGGAAATGATAAACTTAATATATGCTCCGGAATCTTATTGTAAAAACGTATACAGTTCCCCAATAAAAGAGTTGTTTACCTTGGTTAAACGAAATCGTGGTACCATGAGTTTGAACTTAGCTCTAAGGTTAATTAATGTTATGGATATCTTCTTTCTTATTGAAATTATGTATATTTTTACGGGCATATAAAATATTTGAGTAAATGTACTGTGATGCCACAGTCATGATACCAGTCTCCTTAAACTTTTCTCTGAGAGAAACCCGAGACCCTAGACGGTACACAGAACGAATCGCTCGTTTTTACAATACAAATATGGTTTGAATATCTGCCGCTTTATCCCACTTGAGAATCCCGTAGGACATTATACTATGGAAGTAACTAAAGTAAACTAGTCTAGCAGTACTAACATCGGTAAGCTCGCGGATTGCGTATGCAGCGGAGCTTAATCTGCTGGCCAGGGAAGATATATGTAGAAACCATTGAAGTTTACTATCTAAGGTCACTCCCAAGAAGACTGCTTTATTAACAAGGTCTAACTTTTCTCCGTTTATTTCTATGCTTGGACTAGTCGATTTTACGTTAGGTAATTTAAATTTAACACATTTTGTCTTCTTGGCATTAAGCAATAAATTATTAGCATTAAACCAATAAACTACCTTAGAGAGGGTATCATTAATATGGTCATAGTTAATGTCATGTCTGTCTGTTTTAAAAATCAAGGATGTGTCATCAGCAAACAACACTATTTCGCAACGGTCCTTAGCAAACGCCTGAAATGGTCCTTAAAAAATCTTAACGTGGCCGGAGCAGCCGGCATTCGTTTTCAATCACTAGCACACGTTCGTTTTGAACAGACATCACGTTCGTACAACTTTACTACTGCCGTCTAGCCACAAGTGTTCACCCCGCCCCACCTTGAATATACACAATGTACTTCTAAACAAAGGAGCCCCTAATTCTAAAATATCGCGACTAGAACCGACTAATTCAGGACTTTTTTAGTGTAATCTGATCTAAGCTAGGAGCTGTGGTTCTCCAGATTAAAAAATGGTGCCGCCGGAATAATGTTATCCCAGTGTGGACAGTAAAGCCCCTAATAACTTCAAAACGGTGTAACGAGTAAATCTAGATTTTACACCTAGAACCAACTAAATCACGATTTTTTTAGTCTAATCAGATCTAAGCTAGGTGTTGTGGTTCTCGAGGTTGAGAAATTGTGCCGCTGGAATAAGGTTATTCCAGCATAGACAATAACTTTTGAACGGTGGACCGACTAAATCTAGTTTTTTGCGACTAGAACCGACTTAATAGAGACTTTTATCTGGCTAGTCATATTTCAAAAACTCTACCATGGTCACGCAGGACTATGGCACGCTGACGGAGATCGTAACTATTACATTCATAAAAGACAGGACCATTTCACCATTGTGAGTAATAATAATTTTTTAAGGTTTTTTTGGAATTATATTTTGTTTATTTTGGAGGCAATAAAGAGATTTTATTTTATTATTTTTTATTATTATTTCTTAATTTTCGTTTTATTTTTTTTCTCGAATCGAAAAGTGTTCACATTGGCGCCTCATATTCTTCATTACCTCACAAAAAAACTGAATCCAAATCTCATGGGCGTCCGACCCTTATATTCTAGAACTCTACTCAATGCTCAAGTCAGGACTTGAGTATGATTCAAAGCACTGGAAATCATACTCAAGTCCTTGCCATTAGGGTCGTATTTTCAGTGCTTGAAATCAAACTCAAGTCTGCTAAAATCCTGACTTGAGCATTGAGTAGAGTTCTCAATACTCAAGTCAGGACTTGAGTATTGCAGATCAGGTGAACATATCAGCTTCTTTGAAAATTATTTACTATATTTCAGTGCAATATTTCCCTACAATTGAAGTTATTGCATTTCTATCTAAGTACATCTTATTCACACTTTTATTTTGTTGTGATTGATTTTTTACAAACATTTAAACTATTTCTTTACCAAACACAACAGTAAAAAGCGCACAAAACAATTATGACAATACCAAACAGAACAGCAAGTGTGTAGGAGGACCGGGCGTAGTTTAATCCTTGTGGCCGTGTGCTTGTGCCACGCTCTCGCAGTAGTGTCATGTCAGTCTGACCTTGCTTGTTGGCTCATTTGTTTTTCTCAACACAATCCAATTTAATTGCATCACCGCGCACCGTCACGATAAACATCAATTATAGGCCTCCATGTGTGGAAATTTGTTCTTAATAACCTTATTTATTTATTTACAATTAATAGGAATATATTCTTAATAAAATTA